AGCATTCCTGCTGTGGGCAATTCGAGGGTGAAATTTAGAATAGGAAGGAGCCATTACAACGCAGCATTAGCTCGAATTCGAATTTGAATCGACGACAGTGGAACCAGTTCGAGTTCGAGTTCGAATTCGAATCGACGACAGCGATTTTGGAGTTCGACTCTTTCTATATTCGTCCACCGGGTTGACTTCTAACTCGAGTTCGAATTCGGTTCCTTCCATATATAAATATATCCGTTCAGGGTTGAGTTCATCAATAAGTATAACTGTTTCAGTTTTCGAGATCGAGTTCGGGTTCGAGTTCGGTTCCTTCCATATATCCTTTCAGGGTTAAGTTCAGTTCGAGATCGAGTTCGAGTTCGAGTTCGAGCGGGGCACACTTTGCCATCTGCCTAGAATCATACATGGGGGTTCAACACGTCAAATGCAAAGAATGTATTATAGTCACGGACAAATACTTAGAACATATTTTGGAAAAAAAAATTGTATATGGTACCTGGAAACAGTGTTCTAAGTATAGCACTTAGTCACCAAATAACAAAGAACAATTTCCAGGGGTGAAGTGACTGTTCTAAGTGTGTGCTCACACAAGGGTATGGCTACACCACTGGGGATGTGCTAACACCAAGAAATGTTCTAAGTATTGGTCCGTGACTATAACTATTCTACTTGCAACAGCCTCTTGACTCACTGCATGTTCTAAGTGAGTGACGTCACAAGGGCATGCCGCCACGCGTTTTGCAGTGCAGTTCAAAGTGTGCTGGCAGATTTGGGCTCCATACAGTCCATACAGAGGTCGCTTCATCCCCCCGCCATGGCAGCAGATACTACTCTGCCGCCACAAGTTCACGAATTCAAATATGGGCCACTTTGCTGCAAGTGCAGGGTGGAAGCCTCAATTTAAGGCTACTTGACATGTTCTAAGTATGCGTGCACCAAAGGGTTTACAAAAACCGGAGCCAAGTGAACAGCTCTTGCCTGCTGATGTTCAAGCACAAAGAGGGAAAAGCACACTGTGTTTCAAAGTGTGATGTAGTTTTCAACCCAAGAGAAAATATCTCTATATATATACTTACAAAAAGGTCTCCTGCAATGTTCTAAGTGCAAGGTTTCCGCAGGCGTTTGCAAAGGCTCAAGTATCAGGGTATTGTTGAAGAGCAAACATGAGCAAACGCAAAACGGCAATGGAGTTTGCCTCAAATGGGCCTATGACACTACTCTTGGGCCTAGCTAGCTCATTGGCCAAATATATGGCGTTGATCCTCCTTTGGTTCATGTGTGAAGCAGATATCCTTGATTTTTCTTTGAGGGTAAAGCTGTTTCTGCCCAAATTCAAGGAAGACCAGGAAGACGGCGATTCTGACTGGGATGTGGTGAGTGGTGGGTCAAAAGCTCCAAGTCCAGCAAGTCCAGGAGCATGTTCTGCCAACACATCCTACACCTCTCAGTGTGAGCACCCGCAAGTGTCAAAAAAGGGCAGCAATCACTTTGTGCAGCAGAGACGCTGCAAAATCTGTGGATTGATCCTGTCTAAAGAATTGACTCGTGCTGGTGTCATGTGCCAAGACGTCAAGGCTGCAAAGAAAGGAGTGCTGCATTAGAGCTATTGTGTCAGGATGGCAAAGTGCTCAGACTGCACTACATCAGCGATAGAACGAAGATGGATTGTTGCGGCTGTGGAAAAAGGATGCAAATCATTGCCGCCAAACAGGGTGAGCATGGAGGAAGCTGTATACATAGTGTATGTATGCATGTATGTGTGTATATATATATGACATTGGGACAACACCACCAGTACCAGAGTTGTTCTAAGTGTAGCTTGTCTGCGGGAGTATGCCTCTGGCGGAACTCTCGCAATACATGTGTATATGATATATATATATATATATATGTATATGTGTGTAGTTGCTTTTACCAACCCACAGTCTTCTGTTCTCACTTTTGTGTAGAACCATTCCCAAGGGTTCTTTACATGCCCACCTTTTATCCAAACACACCTGCTGAGGGGGTGGCTGATATTGCCCAAGTCTACCCCCACCCTGATGATATTGTCTGGTGTATAATATATATAGCTCCCTCGCGTGTCAAGGTCCCCTTGTTTGAAGGCGAGTTTTGTTCAACAACATAGATGGGTGAAAGCTTTCCTCAGTGTTCTAAGTGTATGGTTCTTGCGGGCACTAGGTTGCCAGAACTCATATGGATCCATAGAAGTTGAAGCAACTACTTTTCTTGGGCGAACTCAACAGATTTCAGACTGGTTCGCATTGTTTTGCGCCTCGAAGGCTCTTTGTATATAGTATATGTAATTATATACTAAAGCTGGACATCTTAATTCAAATGTTCTAAGTGTAGTTGTTCACAAACACGTGCGCTACCAAGGTATCTGGTGCGATTCGATTGCCACGGAAGGAAATTCCAAGTGATCCACTTTCCAACAGCACAAGCTTGCCGGCAAGCAGCTCTAGCATACTATGAGCAGACCAAGAGCTTTTTGGGCAAGTTTGACTCATTGCAGGGAAAGGCAGGCAGGTTGAAAAACCCCGTCAGTGTGTGGGATGTAACAATGTACATACTAGTCCACATATATATATATATATACACAGTATACAGTATACATATGTTTTTTGATACACATCATATACAGCATACTAATTGTCTCTGGCCTTCTGGCCTAATTTGGCCCCGTGCAGGGCTTGGCCAAAGAGCGGAATGAGTGGATGGTATCTATGGGTTTCTCAAAGACTGGAAGTTTGGCTCATCAGAGGCAGCTCATGCAGGAGAAGCTTGCTCTTGGAGTTGTCCGTCCAGTTGAACAAGCGGTTTTGCAAGCAATTGACCTCTCAGGCTGCTTGGTTGGTGCGAGCAAGGTTGAGGTCGCGGACAAGTTGGGTTCTTTCAAGGCGACCTTTGATGTGAACGGCTCTGATATGCTTTCCAAGCAGGTTGAGACTCTCAAGGTAGCTTATGATTGGCTACTTCAAATGTCCCATTCGAGCAAACAAGGGATTTTGACTCAAAGCCTCAAAAAGGTAGAGCAAGTTGCAAAGCCAGCTGCAGCCTTAGAGAAAGCCGCTGATGATCTCAGCTCAGGCAAGACCATGGAGGAGGTTGTTTCCTCTTTGGGTAGCACAGAGCTTCTCAAAGGCGCACAAGATGTGACTGCTGTGTTCATGAAGCCTGACAAGGTCGAGCAGGAGGAACTTCCATTGTCCAAGATATCTGTCCACAAGGGATCTTTGAATACCTTCATCAACATTGCCTTCTCCAACCATGAAGCTTGGGCCTTGCTTCTTGGGAAGGTAGCATGGAATGGCAAGTACCACGTGACAAACTTTGTGCTTAGCACAGGCTCTGTGCAAGAACTTTTGGAGCACACCAGAGTAAAAGCACGCTGTGATGCACAGGGCTTAGGTCCTTGTGGAGTTGTCATGGTCGGGAGGCCCGAGCAGTTTGAGGACCATATACTCCGATTATTCAGCTCAACAACTGAATGCCCCTTATTCATCAACGTCGACTTTTCCAAAGCAACTGCTGGAACGGTTCTTGCATGGGAGCTAGCTGACGATGAAAGCTCCACCAAAGTTCGTGTGCAGTGGGCCACACAGCCTAGAGAGTTACAAAAGCGGCTTCTGTACAACATATGCTGGATTCATGATCTTGGAACTTCGCAAACTGAGCATGCCACAAAGCGCATCTGCGCTGCTGTTCTTAGCCAAGTTTTGGAGAAGGGTGATTCTGAGGGAAAAGACCGGCAATTTCTCGATACAACTTGGTATCGGAGAGTAGAAG